TAAGGGTGTTAGCAACGATGTTCGCCTTTCCCAGATGATACTGAATCGAGCAGTCATAATCCTTGACGAGCTCTAACCAACGGTGCTGTCTCATGTTGAGCTCCTTCTGAGTAAAGATATACTGCAAGCTCTTATGATCTGTGAATATCTCACAATGACCGCCGTAAAGATAGTGTCGCCAAATCTTGAGAGCATGAACGACTGCTACTAACTCCAAGTCGTGCGTCGGGTAGTTCTGCTCATGCGGCTTAAGCTAACGCGAAGCATACGAAACGACCTGGCCATCCTGCATAAGGACACATCCCAAGCCCTGTCTCGAAGCATCGCTGAAGATGGTGAAACTCCGAGAAGGATCGGGAATAGTCAACACCAGTGCTGAAGTTAATCTCCTCTTGAGCTCCTGAAAGCTCGACTCACATCGGTCAGTCCACTCGAACTTCACAGACTTCCTCGTCAGCTGGGATAGAGGGAGGGCGATCTTGGAAAAGCCCTCGATAAACCTGCGATAGTAACCAGCTAGACCGAGAAAACTGCGAACCTCGGACGGACTCCTCGGTGTCGACCAGTTCTGAACGGCTGAGACCTTGAAAGGATCCACCTCGATACCTGCCTGAGTAATCACATGACCCAAAAAGGATACTCGCTGGAGCCAGAACTCGCATTTGGAGAATTTCGCAAACAACTTTTCTCGTCTGAGGGTTTCAAGAACCACCCTCAGATGCTCCTCGTGCTCCTTCTGGCTCTTCGAGTAGATAAGAATATCGTCAACAAAGACAATAACAAACTGCTCAAGGTAGGGATGGAAAATACGATTCATGAGGTCCATGAAAACTGCTGGCGCATTGCTGAGACCGAATGGCATGACGACGAACTCGTAATGGCCGTAACGAGTCCTAAAAGCGGTCTTAGCGATATCTGACTCATTAATCTTCAGCTGGTGGTAGCCTGATCGTAAATCAATCTTTGAGAATACACAGGCTCCCCTCAATTGATCAAATAAGTCGTCGATCCTGGGAAGCGGATACATGTTCTTGATCGTCAACCGGTTAAGATCCCGGTAGTCGATACACATGCGCATGGATCTGTCCTTCTTCTTAACAAAGAGAACGGCTGCTCCCCAAGGTGACACGCTCGGTCAGATGAAACCGAGTCGTAACAGCTCCTAAATCTGAGTCTTAAGCTCCTGTAACTCCTTAGGCGCCATACGATATGGGGCTTTGGACACTGGACCGGCTCCTGAAATGAGATCGATAGAGAACTCCACCTGCCGGTTAGGCGGTCCTCCTGGAAGCTCGTCTGGGAACACGTCCACAAACTCTCGAACGACTGGAACATCGTGAGGTGAACGTGCTTTCTGAGAATCATCGACAAGGCTCACCAGATAATCCTGGCAGTTGCCTCGTCGCAGTAACTTAGTGGTTTTCGCCATCGAAACAACATGAGGCAAAGAACGATTCTTGGAGCCGAAGAAAGTGATCGACTCGTCTCCCGGATGATACAGGGTAATCTCCCGGTCATGGCATCTGATATCTGCATGATAAAAGGATAGCCAATCCATTCCGAGAATAAAGTCGAAGTCCCTCATCTCGAGAACAAACGCGTCGGTAGACAAAACTCGGCCACCGATGGAAAGGCTAAGATCTGAAGCTTTAGCTGAAGTCACTATCTTTCGTCCCGAGGCCAAACTTACCTCAAGAGGATCGATAGCGGTAGTAGCGCGAACTCCGATGGCGTCAAGACACCGTCGTGAAATGAAAGTATGTGTTGCTCCAGTATCGAATAAAGCAAACACAGGAACATTATTAAGAATAACCATCCCTGACATGGTACCTGGCTGCTGTTCGGCCTCATCCTGATCGACGGCGTAAACTCGGGCCTGCTGTCTGCCCCTCTGTTGCTGCTGCTGAGGCTGCCTCTGTGCCTGCTGACGGGGCTGCTGCTGCTGCGGTGGCTGCTGAGGCTGCTGCGCCTTCTTTGGACAACGGTTCGCGAAGTGTCCGGGCTCGTGACAATAGTAGCATACATCTTGACCAAAGCGACACTCGCCTCGGTGAAGTCGTCCGCATGTTGGGCACTGAAGAATCTGCTGTAGCCTCCGGCGGGTCCTCTTATCTGTCGGGGCACCTTTCCCCTTCCTCTTGTTGTTCTTCGGTGGCTGGGTAGATGGTAGAGCTGGCATCGGTGGAACTGAAGATGACTGAGCGGGGGCAGATGGCTGGAACTGATCACGGACGACCTCCCTCCTGATGCTGGTGTCTACCTCCTGTGCAATGGAGACTGCACGTGCGTACGTCTGTGTCCCGTGGCCAACGATGTTATGACGGACTGCTGGGTAAAGCCCGTCAATGAAACGCTGTGCTCGCTGGGCCTCCATGCGGACCAAATCAGGAACAAAAGCTGCAAGTCTCGTGAATTCTCTCTCGTACTCGTCAACAGTAC